AATGAACATGGTCTGGATAGCCCACAGACATACCATAAACATTTCTAGGACCCATAATTGGTCTCTTTTAAACAAAATAAAAGTACGACCAATATGGGCCTTTACAATAGCTGCTCCAAAGCTGTGGAACAGTTTACCTCTTAATATTCAGTCAGCAGAGACTGTTGAGGCTTTTAAATCTTTTCTGAAGACCCATTTATTTTCTTTGGCTTATGTTGAAGATTTGGAGGTTCAGTTAGAGCTTTTTTCATRTATTGTGTTTCTGTATTTGCATCTATCATTTGTTTGTTTTTTGATGTCTTGACTGAGCTGTGAAGCACTTTCGTCAGCTTTTGTTGTTAATGTTCTATACAAATAAATTTGACATTGACATTAAATGAAATGTTGGAACTGTAGGACTTAGTACTGTTCACCATGACTTGTGGTTTAACCGCAGGCTTCTGCATAAAAACCCTATGAATGTGTCTCTGCACAGGTTCAAGCTATTCCCCACTTGCGTTCCTCCCTTTGGGTTCCGGCACATCCTCTCTCTGACAGACAAAGTGGATCGTTTTAATGAGGAGGTGCAGAAGCAGATGGTGTCTCGAAACCGAGACGCACCAGAAGGTGGATTTGATGCCATCCTGCAGGCTGCAGTTTGTCAGGTAACCAGGGGCCTCATGTACAAAGACTTGTGTGGATTTCTTACTGAAACGTGACGTACGGTCAAATCCAGAAAACGGCATACGCAAAAAAAAATCCAAATGTTTCAAACTGTGCGTATGTCAGAATCCACGCACGTTGCTTTTGTACATCACGATTAATTTGGAACTGAGCGCAGGTGAGACTCCTCCCCTGACACGCCTTCGGTAACATACTGTATGTTAAACAGATGCAAATTACTTCCTGCATGTGTGAACGACATGTTTGTGTGGTCCCCACATGATCAAAAATTAAATTTAGATTCAAGAAAAGAATTAATTAAATATAATGTGGAATTCCTGGAACCCCGTCCAGTCGACTCAGTCGTTTTGTCCTTGGGCACGACACCTTACCCACCTTGCCTACTGATGGTGGTCAGAGGGTCCGGTGGCGCCTGTGTATGGCAGCCTTGCCTCTGTCAGTGTGCCCCAGGACAGCTGTGGCTACAATGTAGCTTACCATCATCAGTGTGTGATTGAGTGTGTGAATGGGTGAATGTCTGTAGTGTGAAGAGCTTCGAGTGTCCTGGATGGATCGAAAGGTAATATATAAGTACAGTCCATTTACCATCTAAGTGACTCCGACATCCCTGATTGTGTTTCCATCCTGTGTCGGGTGAAGATTCTTTAAAACAATTATAAATAAGGACTTCAAAAGCAGCCAGCCTGACAGAATGGTGCTTTTCCACTAGTGCCTCTACAGCATGCTTTGACTTGGGTCAGCTCTTTTCAGCACAGTTCAGGTGGTTTACCATTACACTTCAGGAGCAGCTCTAGTGGGTGGGTTCTAGGCGGTCCCAGAGTCTGAAAATTGACACTACATGCTTTTGCCAACTGGTGACGGTAATGCTCCTTTAAGCTATTTTCCAACCACCATTAAATGTAGTAGAAGAAGACCCCGAACACAACAAGGATGACACGTTGGCTTTTTGCCAGATTCCAAAAAGTATTGACCAGGAAAAGACTGCAAACAGTGAGACAAAACACTCTGGAGAAGAACAGAAGAGCGTGGGAAGTCATAAAGCAGTGTGAAGCCGAAGATAGGACACGATCTAGACGACATCCAAAGCTAAAGCTAATCTGCTAGTGAGCTATACGAACGAAGCCGAGCGTAAAAGTATTTAATGTCGATTAAATAAGGTTTAGTAATAAATATGCTGGGTGTGTGTATTTCAGATGACTCTCCTTCAAAATAAGTGCCACAAACCTACAGTCTGGACGTGTGGGATTATTGTTTGGATTATTGTTCCTGGTTTTACAAACGCGCAGTGGTTGCAGAACTTAAACATATTGGATAAAAAGGATGGTTTAAAATTATTGACTTTTGTTATTTATAGATAATGCAGTATGACAAGGTGTATGTTAAAATTGCTAAAAAAAAATGTCACAATGCTGTCATCACAGAAATGTACATTCAAGCAGCTGTAGATCTGAAAACATTCAGTTTAGCTTTGGTCTTAAATCATAAGGTTTTTTTGGGCTGAATTCCTAACAATTAGTATATTTTGGGTCCCCATGAATCTTTACAAGTTGTAATATAATTTCAGTGGCATGGCTTTGGAAAGTACAGTTATGAACTATTAAGCTATTGTTTATCGGACGTAACCAGTGACTCCACCCCCTAACCAACCAGTGACTCCACCCCCTAACCAACCAGTGACTCCACCCTCTAACCAACCAGTGACTCCACCCTCTAACCAACCAGTGACTCCACCCCCTAACCAACCAGTGACTCCGCCCCCTAACCAACCAGTGACTCCACCTTCTAACCAACCAGTGACTCCACCTTCTAACCAACAGTGACTCCACCCTCCAACCAACCAGTGACTCCACCCTCCAACCAACCAGTGACTCGACCCTCCAACCAACCAGTGACTCGACCCTCTAACCAACCAGTGACTCGACCCTCTAACCAACCAGTGACTCGACCCTCTAACCAACCAGTGACTCGACCCTCTAACCAACCAGTGTCTCCACCCTCTAACCAAACATTGACTCCATCCATAACCAACCAATGACTCCGCCCTCTAACCAACCAGTGACTCCACCCCCTAACCGACCACTGACTTGACCCCCTAACCGACCACTGACTTGACCCCCTAACCGACCAGTGACTCCACCCCAACCAACCAGTGACTTCGCCCTCTAACCGACCAGTGACTCCGCCCCCTAACCGACGAGTGACTCCACCCTCTAACCAACCATTGACTCCACCCTCTAACCAACCACTGACTCGACCCTCTAACCAACCAGTGACTCCGCCCCCTAACCAGCCAGTGACTCCGCCCCCTAACCAACCAGTGACTCCGCCCCCTAACCAGCCAGTGACTCCGCCCCCTAACCAACCAGTGACTCCGCCCCCTAACCAGCCAGTGACTCCGCCCCCTAACCACCCAGTGACTCCGCCCCCTAACCAGCCAGTGACTCCGCCCCCTAACCAACCAGTGACTCCGCCCCCTAATCAACCAGTGACTCCGCCCCCTAACCAACCAGTGACTCCACCACCTAACCAACCACTGACTCCACCCCCTAACCAACCACTGACTCCACCCCCTAACCAACCAGTGACTCCACCACCTAACCAACCAGTGACTCCACCCCCTAACCAACCATTGACTCCACCCTCAAGGCGTGGAACCATGCAGAGCCAAGCTGAACTGTGCTGTAGAGGCACTATTGGAAAAGGGGTGAAGGTTGCAGGTTTTCCTACCATCACAGGGTCTTTACTGTGTGTGTGAAGTTTGCAAATTCTCTTCACGTATGTGAGATTTCTGTGGATACTCCTGTTGTTTCCCACTGACTAAAAACACCCCTGTAAGAATAATTGGTAACTCTAAATTGTCCCTAAGTGTAAGTGAGAGTGTAAGTGGTTGTATGTATTCAGATACCAACTTTTMACGTTCGCTGCGCCATAATGAGTTCTCCTTCGGTCTGATCTTTTATGTAGAACTCAGAAATTCTGACCTGAAATTACAACATTCCACTAGTTTATTTACAAATGCAGGATATTTTGCTGTTAAATCACACAAGGAAATGAAACTGCTGCTTTCACGGATTTTTTTTTTCACTCAGCATGTTACCAATTGCTGAGTGAAATATTACACCACGTGCTTCAGTTCCCTTGGAAAAAAGTAAAATTGTACATAATAGGCTGAAAAACAACTTCAGAGTTCCTGCCCAGAGTGATTTACAGTTTAAGCTGATTTGTGTAATTACCTGTTAGCAGGAAAGAAAAGCTGAAGTTAATGTAAAAAGCATTATTTCTGTTGGTTAGACTTTAATGTATATAGTATTTGAATAATTTGGCTTTTGGATTAAAATCCTTCTGTATTTCTGCTCCACAGAGATCCAGGGTTGAGCCTTGTTATTTGACAACATTTCTGTTGTTCTGATCACACCATTCTAGTGCTTGTCTGCTGAACAAAGGCCTCACTGCTGATTGGAGGAAAAGCTCTGTGTATTTTGCAGCAACCTTAGTCAGCACTCCTGCTGCCTTACATGTTGTTTCTTGTTGCCAATGGCCTCGTCAGCCCTTTGTTCTTCCTCTCTGTTGGTTTCGATGAGTGCTTCTCACGTGGAAAAAAGCCAGAACCATTTACTTTTTATTAAAGAAAAACAAAAGTATTAAGTGTACGACGGACTAAATGTGAAATAAATAATGAAATACTATTAAAAGAAAATGTAGTAGAGTTTTACTCACTGAGTTGTGGCGAGCAGCTGCCGTCTTAAATTCTGAACTCTTCTAATTCCCGTGCATAATGGATATAGATTATGGGAGGTGTTTCAAAGCAGCTTATTTTGAGACATTAAAATCCAAATGAATTGCTTAAAGACAACACATTAGGGACAGGACAAGAATTATCTTTCACTTTTTAAATTAATTTATTTTGTTTCATTTAATTATAAGTTTAAAGATTGCCATTGATCTAAAAAATACAAAAACAACAATTTTAAGTAAAAAACTAGAAGCACTTGGAGAGAGCAAACCTCCGCCAAGGCCGCATGTTTGTGCGTGAGTGTGTGTGTGTTTGTTTTGTGTGTGATTTGTAACATTTTTAGTCATGTGTGTTTGTGTACAAGTGCTTTACGATGACAAAACACGTAATAAATGACATGCAACAGAAGGAGTGGAACAGCATCWGAAAAAAGAAAACATTTAGCCATAAAAAAACAGAATAAACATAATTGTTTAAGAAAACCTCACCCACCAGAGGTTCCAGCTGCACCCAGGTGGGAGAGCAGGTGCTGAGTCTCCGGCCCGGTTCCAGCTGACTGGATCTCATCCTTTAATCCCTTGGAACAGATCCGTCAGCTGGGTTTCAGATTTTTTTTTTTTTTAAATTTTTGTAGAACTATCACCTGCCAGAGGTTTGCGGCTAAATCCAGGTGGGAGAGCGGGTTCTGGACATAGGACCATGGTTCCACCTGACTGGATCTCTTCCTTTTATTCCCCTGCAGCAGCACAAGCAGCCCTGTGCTGGAATTCAGCCGTTTCACCCGCCGGAGCTCTCTCGCGTCCGTTTGTTCGCTAATATCTCCACGGGGGAAAGGGCCTGGAACTTGAAACCACCTCCAGGTTATCGAGGAGATCCAGAGTTTTTGATCGAGCCCTGACCCGCCCAGGTCTGATGCTCAGAGCCGGCGCTAGAGGCTCCCTAATAAATTGAGTACTATATCGCTCGCCAAAGTGGGTTTTTCGGCTGGTTTTCGGTTAATAGCTCCCCGGGGAAGTGACCCCGGTGCCGGCAACCACCTCCAGGTTGTAGAGGATAACCATACCTTTCCAACGTCATTTCACATGCCCGGATCCGATGCTCAGAGCCCGCAGGAGAAGCAAACGAAGGTTGCAAAATGCTCCCGAAAATTATACTAAATGCTGTTCCARATGGATTTTCGGTGGTGGTGAGTTAGCTAGCCTTTCCGATACAGGTGGGGGGAAAAAAATCCARAAATGTAAACACAAAATACAAAATTGTTAGGATGCGCAGGTCGATGTATTATGAAAATGATCTGTTGTTACATTAAAGTACCCTATTTATTCATGTATAATACGATCTCATGTATAATACGATCTCATGTATAATACGATCTCATGTATAATACGATCTCGTGTATAGTACGATCTCATGTATAATACGATCTCGTGTATAATACGACCTCGTGTATAATACGACCTCGTGTATAATACGACCTCGTGTATAGTACGATCTCGTGTATAGTACGATCTCGTGTATAGTACGATCTCGTGTATAATACGACCTCGTGTATAATACGACCTCGTGTATAGTACGATCTCATGTATAAAACGATCTCATGTATAAAACGATCTCATGTATAATACGATCTCATGTATAATACGACCTCAAGTATAAAACGACCTCATATATAATACGATCTCATGTATAATACGATCTCATGTATAATACGACCTCATGTATAATACGATCTCGTGTATAATACGATCTCATGTATAATACGATCTCGTGTATAATACGATCTCGTGTATAATACGATCTCATGTATAATACGATCTCGTGTATAATACGATCTCGTGTATAATACGATCTCATGTATAATACGATCTCGTGTATAATACGATCTCG